GCCGGTACGGCTCTTGTTGCCGAGGCGGCTCCTGGCGCCCGTACTCCTGCCGAGACGGGTATGCGGGTGGTGGTTCCTGCCGCCCATACTCCTGCTGCTGCTGCCGGGGTGGGTACGCATCAGGATGAGCATGCCGAGGGTCCTGCGACCGGCCATAGTCCTGCTGCGGACGACCTGGGTATGCATCCTGGCGACCACCATACTCGGGACGCGACATTTCCTGCCGCGGCGGGTACTCGTTGGTGGTGTTGCTGTACCGGGGCACGTCGTGACGACCATACGCATCCGACCGACCATACGCCGGCTCTTGGCGGGGCACGTCCGGGGCACGCGCGTACGGGTCGTGGCGCGGTGCGTCATGGCGCGCATAGTCGTTGGACCGAGGCGCGTGGTGCACTGGCTTGTTGTACGTCGACGGGTGCGGCGCACGCTGCACAACGTTTCTGTGTGAGCCTTCTTGATAGATTGACACTTTGATATATTCACGTACCATGGGCGGCGGGTCGGCGCGGCGCGGATGAAACCTATCGACGTGCTGTATGAGCCACGACCACACACACTGCAGACGACGCACCGCGACTCTTCGGGCTGCCGATGGAAGCGCGACTCGTCGGGCCTGCTCGACGACGATTCGCGCGAGTAGCGGTCGTAGCTCGACGGTGCTGGCGTCGGCTTGGGCGTCGGTGCCGGTGTCGGTGTCGCCCGCGGGTGCTACTCGCATCGTCCAGTGAGCTACGTTGGAAATGCATCAGGCTACCTGCGTGCGCCACACGGCTTCCGCTTCGAGAATCAAGTGCGTCATTTTGCGCTAAGAACTTGTTGCACTTTCGTGTCTGCTTGATACATTGATACCTGCTGCGCAATCATATCGTGGTCGGTCGTGACGACCATGAGCGGAATGCGAAGCTCTTGGAGCGCGCGCTAGTCGTCGAGGATGAGACACGCCCAACCTTATTGTTCGAGCGATGACACCTGCTGCGTCGACAGCATCGTCTTGCGCGTCATGCCTTGAATGTCGACAAACTGCTTTTGCGCCATCGTGCAGCGCTTGGTAAACTCGAGACGCTGCTGTGCAAACTACATGATGGTGAGGGAATCCCCCGATAGAGTCCCTCCAAAGACGTACAAAGGCATCGCGCGACGCAGCATCACCCTTTTCGTTCTCGGCGTGGTGGCGCTGAAACAAGTCGGCGCCTACACCATACACAATCAAATGAGATACGTCGTCGCAAGAAGGGAGTTCCTCGCTGTACCTTCTTTCATTTGCATGCAAATCAGATCCTGCCAGCGGTACAAGGTCGCCACGTCTTGCTTGCGCTGCGCTGTCGCCATGTCGAAGACCGTGCTAAAGATCTATGGCACGCCTCAGCAACGCTTCGGCTACAAGAGAGATGGAGCTTACATGTTCGTTGTTGTCGCGAAGGAGCTCGGACAGCATCTGCAGCACGGGCGTGGGCACGGTGACGGCCAAGTCGACTGCAACAACATCCTGAGCATGCGGCGGAGCGAGGGCAACGTACCAGGGTCGAAGAGAAGGTACTTGCAGTCGGGAATCACGGGCAGCGCCATCGGAATGTCTTTAAAGTGCGGCACGGCCTGGACCTCATGAGGGTGTAAGCACAGAGAGGGCGGAGACATACCGGCGTCGTTGGCTTGGCGGCGTCGACTTGGACGACAATCTCGGGCTCGGCGGCCGTTGTCGCAACCACGGGCGCGGTCGGCGCGGCAGCAGTCGTGGGCGCAGTAGGCGCAGGCGCAGACGCCGATGCGGTGTCGGCTGCAACAAGACGTTATGAGGACCCTGGATATGGAACGTCGTCGACATACCGATGCGCTGGCTGCGAAGCGCCGCCACGTCGCCTTGCGTCGCGGTGCAGGCTTCGAGGAGGCCCCACAAGGCCGCTTGCTCGGCCTCCCCGTGGATCGTATCGAGGGCGCGGAGCACGAGCTTCTTGGCGTTGCTAAACTTTTCGCGCTCGAGGCAAAAGCCAATATACCTACATACAGTTGCGCTGAGCAGGCTCGGGTTGACGCATCGTTCTACCGCTTCCACAGGTCAAAGCTGCCGGGCCACTTGGTCACGGCGAGTTCAAAGACCTTGGTCGCTTGCTTGAACTGCCGCAACTCCATCTCGAGCTCGGCGAACGCGAGCCAGAGCCCGATCGAGGACGTGTCTTGTGCATACTGCTCCAGCGTCGAAAAGCCTGTACAGGGCGGATGAGCCGAGACGACAGGCATGTAGGGTACCGTTGCACGCGCGCTGTCGACCTGGAGGTACTATCGTAGAGGAAGCATGGCATGAGCCCACGTAGCGAGGCGAGGAGCATGCAGAGGAGGCGCGTACGTTGCTGGAGATGATCAAGGTCTTGGCGGTCGCGATCACGGACGTCGCATCCAGCGGCGGTAGGCCTGCCATCTTCACCACAAAATGGACCTCGGGTGCCCTTTTATTGAATCGAATTATATTTTAATACAAAAACAAGAATGCAACATACAAAGTGCAAGTATAGCAGACCATTTTCAATTGCATTGCATGGCCGTGGCTCCGTCGAGAAAAAACGCACCAATCAGCAACCGCCATATCCGGATGTCCGGATAAACAAGATCACCGCATCGCCGACCCGGTTGTCCTCGACGTCGCAACAACGACTGTCGCTACCAAGTACTCAACTCCGATAGCACCCATGGTGCTAAGGCACTCTACCACGATGAAAGATACAATAGAGCGTACTAATAAACTAGGTATTAAATGCAGCCGCTCTCGCAAACAAGCGGATGCGGTGGTGTTTGTTGACGTTGTTGAACCGAGAGGCGGCTCGCATCGCCCTCGACAAGCTCATGAGGATGAAGACAATCAACGAAAGCAATACAATAAGTAGAGTGCGGTGCAGCGGGAAAAAGCGATCGGTCGACGCCGCTTTTCCCATGCACCCGTCGACCTTGAGATGGCTTTTCCCACTTCACCGCACTCTACATATTGCATCTCTTCCTTTGATCCTCTTCATCCTCAGCATGCAGCCGCTCTCGCAAACCAACTCGCTTGTCGTCACCGTGCTCGCGGTGGACCTCGACCAGTTTGCCGCCACGGTCGTCTCGACCAAGCTCCGCCTCGTCTGTGGTGCCCAGCGCGAGACACTCAAGTCCAAGAACGTTGCTCAATGGAGCGCCGCCGTCGAGTTTCTTCCGCCTGTCGACACCATCAGCATCACCGTGCACATCAAAGACGCGGCTGCGTGCATGTGCAGTGGGTACGACGTCTTTGGAACAACGTCGATCCCGCTTTGCTCGCTCGACACCAACACCACCACCGGTACATGCAAGCTCTCTTGTCTTAGGGATGCCACACGCAATCTCTATGCGTAGGTGCTACCGAAGGCTTCTTTCCTTTTGCGCACGGCCACGGCGGCGTGCGCCTTGCGTTCGAGTGGAGCGCCGACGTTGCGCCGTGCAGCCGCGTGCATTTGCCGTGGCGGCGCCATGCGCACTGCGCCGACTGCCACGCGCCCGTGTGCAAGCACTGCAGCTTTCACAGCGACCACGGTGTCGTCTGCCGGGCCTGCGTCGCCGCGAAGCGAGCCCTCGATCTTTCGCCGATCGCCTCGGCGACTGCGTCCGAGACCGACTCGGACACCCCGCCGATGCTGCTGATGACCATCGAGCCGCTCTCGTTTCCGGCGCCGGACGACGACCATGTCTCGGCCGCCGATTTCCAAGTCGTTGGCGCCATGGATTCGGTACGCTCGCGTGTGATTGGCCGACGCGAAAAATCGAGCGCTTTTTGTA